CCCCCCCCCCCCCCCCCCCAACCAGTCCATCCGACGAATTATCAGTCAGGAGGTTTCCTCTCTGCGGATCGCGCATTCGTCGCCTCCTCGAGCTGGAGAACAAATGAATCATCCCCCGGCTAATTCCCTCCGCACGCCAATCGTCGTCACACCCACAACAAGTTCAATACCTCGGGACAATGAGGACAATCTCGTGCGAAAAGTTCGGGCGATTGGGGCGCGCAAAACTTTGACGCTTCTCAAATAAGGATGGCGAGCATTTATGGGGGTCGTGTACACGCGTTCACGAACATTTGCATGTTCGGATATTATCCGCGCCTGCGGTTACCATAAGCCCCGCACCCTTTCACTCGCGCCAGCCATCCAGCCAATTTCGTCTCGGGCCTGCGGACTCACGCTTATTATTATTAGCCGCGGGATTATCGCCCACCGATTAATCGATGTTCGCACGATCTCGGGGAAGATGTTTGGCGTCTCTGGCCTTATCCGGTGAGTTTTTGCGATTTCCGACGAGCAATCGTACGATCGACTATTTATTGCCCGTCCTTCCTCCGACCCACTTTCTCCGGCTGTTTCTCGGCAACTCCTCTAACTATTTACGTTCATGAACATTGTTCATCAAGTACGCTCGTGGCGATTCGTATTCACTTGGTTGTGTGATCATTCTTTCTCTCCCTCCCGCCGCGAGTCTCGAAATGCCAGCGATGAAACGATATCATAAAACTTATATTTTTTACCCGCGCCAATCTTTGAAATGGCGTTTCCACCCCCGCTAATTCCCTCGCACCAATTCACTTCCTCGCACATATAATAACAATACGAGCCCATACATTAAACAGCCCCGTGGAGGACGTTGGAGATGGTGCGTTTGGAGTCCGAAGAGTTAGCGCCAACGATTAAACACAGATTCGCACGTAATGATCCCCTAGTGATAAATCAGCTTCGCAGCGCTCGTGGACCAATGGGCGCCTAGGAGGCCAATGGCAGCCTAACCGAGCTCCTCGATTGGCCCAACTTTCGTTCCGCCCGCCCACGCAGCGGGACGATCGATTCGCCGCCCCCAGCTTGCGGCCAGCCGTATAAAGGGAAAAATGCCCCTGCGGGAGGACCGAATGCCAAACCAGTCGCAACTGACGACGGAGCTGTCCAAGATATTTGTCAGTGTGTATTGTGGAGCATATTGCCGTTGAATTTCGCTGAAATTAGTGAGCGAGAGAAGAATAATAGTAGCAACAATAAGTAGTCACAGTGATCTTGAATAGGACATAAGGAGCTGGTGAGCGATGACGTCCCATCCTGTATTTGATTACGAGGAGCGGGACCAGAGACTCCGTCACCGAGTTGTCGTTGCCAATGCAAAACCGTCGGATACGACGGTTCCTTGTTCTAGGTAAGTGTTATGCCTGTTCATAGAATTGTCAATTTGTCAATTTGAGAATTTAGTTTAGAATGAATAATTCGAATATATGTATATTATATTGAGTATTAATTGAAAAAGCAAATGTTTCTTGTCAGAAACATTGTTTAATGTTAAACGTTGAATATCTAATGGTAAATAATTAAAAAGAAGGTTGCAAATATTGTCATTGTCGAGGAATATTGGAAATGTGATTTTTTTTTATATTTACGTAGACGTTGTTCGACAAATGAATTGTTAATACATTTATGATTTCGCGTCTATAAATTATCTCTCGGCGAGCAATTGAACTTGAACTTCATAATTAACGAAGATTATAGGAACATTAATCAAAGGCTGAATTAAAGGTTAGTTTTTAAGAGTCCAAGATAATCTTGTCTCACTTTAATCTCTGTCCACAGCGGCCCGCAATACTTCCTCGGCCCGGGTGGCGACATGAGCGAGGACGACGTCGTCGACCTGCCATCCTGTGTCTACGCCGGTAGATCCTCCCAACAACAGCAGCAGCACGTGAACCATCCTCCGCAACACACACACTCACCCTTGCATTACCATGTGCCTGTTACAACACCCGGTATGTAGATATTCCTATGTTTGAATTTCTAGGCATTGAAGCCTTGTCAAGGAATCGTTTAATCTTCTTTAAATGATGTTTAATGGGATTTTGTTAATTTTTCATTAACTCATATACTTATGTAAATACGAGTGAAATGAAAGGAAGAAAATTCGAGAGAGAAAGAAAAGGATTTTTTCAGGAATTGAGTGAAGCCAGTTGAGAATATCGTTACAATCATTACTTTCATTATCGGTAATATCCGAATCGGCTAAATAGCAATTAACCATTGATATGTTGCTCATTGCAGATCATACCGAAAATGATATGAATGGCGTCGAAGAGGGTTATTATCCGAATGGGAGTCCTTACAGAATTCAAAGACACGCTGCCAATATTCGAGAGAGGAAGAGAATGCTTAGGTGAGTCGAAAGTTGAAAGTTTATCAGTAGCCGACAGCTTAAATTAATCCGAATTTTAAATAGAAACGTATTAATAGTCTAAACTATGTGTAGTTATTTGAATAAATGTAACATTATTATTTGACATGCACCTTTCATTCAAATGACAGCCAGTAAATAACGTAAGAATCCCTGATTTAGCATTTAATGCGTAAATCTACGTATTTTGGTGTAATGAAGGGCATTTGGTATTTGGACTCAAATTTTATTCAAGCGATTTAAATAGGCTATAGTCGTGTCGGGAGGATAATACCGAGTCCTAATTTATCTCTCTCTCTCTCTCTCTCTCTCTCTCTCTCTCTCTCTCTCTCTATCTATCTATCTATCTATATATATATATATATATATAGAAATTCAGCTCGCATCAATATTTCACATTTGACAAAGGGACCATGTTGACACGTCGACACGTTTATCCCTAAAGAGAAAAAAGATAATCATACGGGAGTTACGGGGATACGTTCGTTGCCGGTATCGCCACCTCGATATCTCAACTGGTCCGCGGCAGGTGGCCAGCAACGATCGTATCAACCTAGGCGTTAAAAGAGCTTGAGCTTAGTCCAAGGAGCCGATCGAGCGTGAGTGTGCTTACGATTTTTAGCAGCATCAACTCGGCTTTCGACGAGCTCAGGGTACACGTGCCCACATTCCCATACGAGAAGCGCCTCTCCAAGATCGACACACTGCGGTTGGCCATTGCCTACATAGCCCTCCTGCGGGAGGTCCTTGCCGCCAGGCTCGACCCGCTCACCTACGTCGAGCGCTGTCTCCGAGGCGAGATCAACGGGGAGCGCGCCGAGTGGAACACCAGCGGTGAGTCCGACCTCCGTCTCTTTCCTTCCGGTTTGCCCAGACGACGATCCGCGTCGCACGAACATTACCAGCAACTTTGCCATAAGCTCTTGCAGGAGGCGAGAGAGTCTCTCTCTCTCTCTCTCTCTCTCTCTCTCTCTCTCTCTCTCTCTCACTTTCGAATACCATGGCAACGCGGCGTGCAATTAATGAAGGCTTTTAACAGGATTGGTCATAATTCGCTCGTAATTCGCTCCTAATTGGCTCGTAATTCGCTAGTAAATCCATGCCGGATTATCGTTATCAATGGTACGTTTATTTATAATCGAAAATTCTTAAATATGCCTTATTTAATTCTCGGACGCGAAGACTTAAATGCAAGATGACGCATTTTATCGAGTTGCATTCAACAGTGTGGGTGGGTGGATATGGACGTAATCATTATTATTCGTTATATAATCATTATTATATCATTGCATGAGCTCGCGTGTGTCGCAAAATATAGGATGAAAGCCGTGAAATATAAATTTCTTTACGAATGTGTATATTGTGGACTTTATAATGGGCAAAGTGGAAAAGTACTGATTGAAAGTACGTAAGCTTTTATTAAATTACCGCAATCATCGGGATGACAATAATGAGGTGTTAACGAGATAAAATCAATGTTCGCAGATTTAACGGCGAGGCTGTCATGGATAAATTGGGAGAACCTCGGTGTCAATCCAAATCGACGCTCAGTACTGACGTCACTGGCCCTCACTACTGACAATATGAACTAAAAAAATTGCCGAGAGTTAACGAGAAGACACAGTTTTTCGTTTTATCTTTTTCCTTTTGTACATACATATTACCGAATTTCAAGTAAAAAATGCGTGCTCATTGCCAAAGAGATTATACATTACCAAATTTAAAATGTAAGATCATTTGTATATTATGAATTCCTTTAGTCATGCGTGTGCAATAATAAAGCGTTTAAAAATCCATGTAATTCGTACCAATTAATTACATAATCAATTTAGCACTCTAGTCGAAAGAACGACAACATCAAATTAATAATCATAAGTACGTGATTTTTATTTGGATAATCCTATTAAATATCATTTCTTGGACTGACAGTAAGAAATGTAAGCTTACGTTCAGGCGGAAATTATTTCACTTTTCATGTGGCGTTTTCTAATTTTTATCAACTCTTTTGTAAAAACATTTATCTGTATAATGAATAAATGCTGGAAGGATCACTATCACTCCCATTGTTGGTTTTCCTTTTTTTTTTTTCTTTTTCATTTTTATTTATTACCATTATTATTATTATTGTTGTTGTCATTGTTATTGCTATTATTGTTATTATTATTATTATTTTCAGTATCAATAATTAGCTCTCTTTGCAATATTCCAAATAAATGGACTTTTCACATTCGAAGATCGGGCATTTGATGTTAGAATTTTTAAATAACATTCCGCCAAAATTATAAATTAGGACAGCAATTTCTTGTAATTAATGTATTATAAATACGTCATTGAGAAAGTCAAAATTTGTATGAAATTTATACATGAATGAAAATGAGATTAATAATCAATATTGCATATGTAAACATCTTTGGTTTCTTTTTTCTTATTTTTTTTTTTTTTCATTTTTTTCTTTTTACGACAGATAAACATACATTTAGTTTGCCAGGTCTTATTTAGTAATTTACGAATGCCTGGCTCTCACACAAAATCGAATAATCAATCATTTTGTACAGTAAATAGCTCGAGTCGGTAATTTACTATTCATCGTGAAGTTTAACGCACAGTTCCACCTGCCACCTAAAGCCAATCAATAATTATTTTTTATCGCTACTTATTGTTTGGACAGACAATCATCAATGTTATTTTACCAGGTCAAAGGGAATACCGCTCGCGCCATTCTCCTACCACGTACCACTCGCAATTACGAAGAAACCCGTCCACCTACTTTTGTATTATTTCCCAGCCCACCCATAGTCCCACCCGTGCCGCGCGGCGCCCCCGCTAAGGAGCTTCGACAGGGCCGTCCGTGTGAGCGAGAAAGCAGGCGAGAAGAAGCAAGTAAGTTGACGTAGAATCCGTTCGTCCGAGCCACCGCACCCCGGAGCCTGAGCAGCCACGGCGCAAATCGATTGCATTGCGTGGAAGAGGACAGAGGACGAAAACAAACGAGGCTCGAAATACACTCGTCACTTCAGGCCCGTCACAAGCTGCCGCCCAGTCGATGCCGTCGACGCGAACGCCTTATCCTTCAACTACCACCGGCTTCCCAAAAGCGACGCGATTCCGTAGAATTGGCACCCGAACCCGACCTGTTGCCGGCCATCGAGGGCCAACCGTCGCCCCCGAGCTGACAACCGCGGCGACCTCGTCCGCGCGAAGGTTATGTTTGCGCATCACTTGTACGCGAGAGCCTCCGTTGTTTTGCAAGTCGAGCGCGGTGAGAAAAAGAGGAAGGAGGAAAAAAAGAAGAAAAAAGCGCTCCTCTTGAAAACAAAGGAAGGCAGAAAACCGCCGGGAGGGAAACTTAGGTTCAGCGCCGCCGAGCGGAGCTTCCCCTTGGCAAAGTGTTTTTTATCAAGTATCCGAGAATAGATGGCCGCGGACGAGGTAAGCGTGATTGCGCTCGTCGAGAATCTGGAGCTTCTGGTGCCGAGGCGACTGCCTGCCCGACTCCTCCAAGATCGTGCCCAACAGCAGCATCAACAGCAGCATCAGCATCAGCATCAGCATCAGCA